CAACATCTTGTATCTAAATAACGCCTTGTGTGTGTTTATGCACACTAACTCACGGGACTGTTCTTCAACCTAGGAATACCCGGTAAGGAAATGTCCATTATTCTTTGAAATATAGAAGGCATAGAGGAAACCCTGAAAGGCAATCTCTTGTATTGAAATAAACCCTTGTGTGGGTTTATGCACACTAACTCACGGGACTCCTTCTCTAGCTCCACCTGCTGATAAGCATGTGATACTTCAAGTATCGTAAACAGCTTACCACTGGCTAACATAGCAAGCAGGTCTTTGATTCGAGGTTATGGGCATCTATCAATCAATGCAGCACGATTAATGATAACTTTATAGCACCTCAAATTCTAATGGTATCATCTCCCTTTGTGACAGGCACTATGTGTGCAGCCCAGTCTGAATATCTTACTGGCTTGATAATACTCTCTTTCAGTAATCGGTCGGAATCGGCTTCAACTTTAGCTCTCAGTGAGAGTGGTACTAGTCTGGACTTATAAAAAATTGGTGTGGTTCCCACCTTGACAAGTATTTTGCCTTTTATCCCTAGTACAGTGCCGAGTTCCTTTTTGATAACCTCACTGAACTGATGAAAGACCCTTGTAAATTTTGCTACCTTGAATACATGTTGTCAGTCTAGTTTAAGTACAAAGGACCAGTTGCTTCCCAGTAATGAAGGACCTGCTCCTTTCTTAATGACTAACGGTAGCACTAATGACTGACCATGATGCTTCATTTGGACATCAGCTGAACCCAAGACAGGAATGGACTCTCCTGTATATGTATACAATCCAGCTTTAGAAGGCTGAAAAAAGGATGTACTAGAGTTGCACCGATACAGAAATTTACCAATATTCCGATTACTGATATTCTATGGCCGATAAAGACTTATACCAATAACCGATCCGATATTAATAATTGATATGAAAGTTTAATAAGCAATTATTAATAAACTTTAATCAATAACATAATTTATATAACCAAAGTTGTTTTAACCTAAAAGTAGTATATATGGCAAGAATTGCACATAGCAAATCTACTGTCTTCACTAGTTTTGTAATAGTTCCATATACATGATCGTTTCTTGGACATCTTTGACACAGTAATAAGCTAGCTAAGCCTACGCAGGTGGACTCACTGAGCAGGTACAAAACCACGTGTTATTGCAATAACATTACGCATGACTAATTATCCTACTGCTCATGCGCAATACCACGTGTTGATAACATCGGAATCGGTAGCTTTTTTATAACTGATAACCAATATTCTCAAAATGGGGGATAAGCCGATATCCAATAAGGCAATCACATTATCGGTGCAACCCTAGGATGTACTTCCTCGGATTCGACGGCATGTCTCCTCAGTGACACTAATGCCCCCGTGTCTAACACCATTTCCAGACTAACATCATTAACATTAACATCAAACATCAATCGATGAGTAAAAGAGGTAGAGACTTGAAACCTTGAATGATCATCAGCATCCTCACTTGCGTCCACATGATTAGCTTCAGCTTTAGTCTTATCTCCTTGTTTCTGTTGTGACTTCTTGCGGCAAACTATAGCAAAATGCCCTCTCTTCTTACAGTAATGACACTGCTTCTTTGAACCGGCAATGCTATTGGTTGTGTTTACCACCACATCCATAACAAACTGTTTTGCTCTCCTCAC